CATGGCGCTGAGATACTGAGGTGTGCAGAGGTATTGCATGGCGCTGAGATGGTCTACAGAGGTATTTCATGGCGCTGAGATACTGAGGTGTATAGAGGTATTGCATGGCGCTGAGATACTGAGGTCGACAGAGGTATTGCATGGCGTTGAGTTGGTCTACAGAGGTATTGCATGACGCTGAGATACTTCGGTGTACAGAGGCACTGCATAATGCTGAGATACTGAGGAGTACAGAGGTATTGCATGGCGCTGAGATACTGAGATGTGCAGAGGTATTGCATGGCGCTGAGATACTGAGGTGTACAGAGGTATTGCAGGACACTGAGATACATGTACCGGATGTCCTGCGACAAAAATCTGAAACAATACTATAATTTATTACACATAGTCTATGTAGCCCTATACCAAACTTGTACCGATTTTCTGTGACATACATCTAGAACATAACTTTTATTTATTACACAATGCCTATGTAACCCTATACCCAGTTAGCATGCCAAACCTCGATATATTATCTCGTCAAATCGCGTTCCATCCCATAATGTCACCACGCCCTGTTCACGTGACGTGCCAGCAGCCAATCAGAAGATGCCGGTTAGCCTCATTTTCGTTTGGTACTTCATAAACGATACAATATTTTGTTATCTTTAAGTAAGAACAGAGGCGTAGCGACACTTACGGCGCCCGGGGACAATTTGGCGCCCCCTCGGGAGCAAATTTTCAATTTGCACCCCCACCCCCCTGAAACTTTCGATTTGCACCCCCCCTCCCCCCCATCAAACTATAATGCAAAAATGAAGCTAAAATAACTTTTTAATTTGTTTTTTTCATCCCATTTTGGCGCCCCCTAAGGTTGGCGCCTGGGGACATATGTAACCCCCTGCCCCCCCCCCCCCCCGCCCCCATCGCTACGCCTCTGAGTAAGAAGCATTTTCTTTTAAATTTTTTAACAATCTACACTACAGTTTCGTTAAAGGGTATTTGTCTGAAAAGTCTAAGATTAACAAAAATATATTTCATGCTAGGGCTTTAAAACAAATTATTTCTGCCTCTTGTGTCAGGAAAAAAATTATAATACCTGTCCATAGGCTACTTGAGAAAAAGAGTGTAATGAACTCTTGAACTTGACATGGGAGCGAAATTATTGATAAATCACATGAATTCGTGACGAGACTAACATGTAAACGTTTTTTTTAAACTGATTTTTGTAACCAATGCGAAATAGCCTTAATGGAATTTTATGCCGACTAGCATGTGATGTTTTACTTTTTTTTTAAATTACTTTTGCGATTTTTTTAATTGATCTGAAAATTGCTCAATTAAAGTAATCATTTTAAAGAAATAGCATTGCTACTAAAGTACGATTTAAAACGAAAACAAAATTCTGTTAATGAAAAAAAAATCATCGAGTCCCTTAATTTATCCCTGATATTCCAACTACCATCTATAGTCAAAAACCTAACCAAAACTCTCTCATTAAACTCATCCGTTATCCTAATTTTTGTCAAAGCTCTAAGCTAATCTAAATCCCAATACTTTAGTGGTTTAATAAATGCGGCTGGCAGGTACCTTTAAGCATTATATATTGATACGAATCCACAACATAAATGTTAAGCTAGTACTAATATTTAGTTGAAAGTGTAATAAAGCACTAAACATCTATTAATAGACAAGATTATTAAAACACGCAGGTGAAGATGGACCAGACAGGCCCAGAGTAGAACAGATGGAAACATCTCGAGGCAAACGTTAGATTAAAACCCAAAGGAAAGTGAAGAGTAGACATAGGCTAGAGATTGGCTGTTGAAAGGGAAGCTAGGGCTGTAAGGCTCACATGGGCCCAACTAAAGAGAACAGATGGAAACATCGCAAGGCAAACGTTGGATTAAATAAGACAAATGGAAGAGAAATGTTCATGCCTGGAAAATCATAGAGTGCTGTTGAAAGCGAAACAAAGGCTGTGATACTTACATGGGCCCAACTAAAGAGAGCAAACACAACAGAGTCCTATGAAGAGGTGTAGCTCCAGTCCTTTGCTTCTTAGGGGCTTCACGTGATTATGTCAGGAAAGCCATGGTATAAATGTATAGTGCTATAGTCTGATAGACGATTGGATGGTTGCGCTTTCGAAATCAAGGCCCAACGTCTGGGCAACAAGTTGAGAAGAACCAGAGAGTTGAGAAGACCCCATCTCCCCACACAGCTGTTGGGTGCGGCGGCACCTATAAAGCTGAAGTCATAATCTAGACAACATCATCAAATGACTACATCACAGCTAAACCAGATCATAACTAAAACACATCATAACTAAACCACATCATAACTTAACCACATCAGAGCAAAAATACATCATAACTAAACCACATCACAGCAAACCACATTATAACTAAACCTCATCATCAGTAAACCACATCATAACTAAACCACATCATCAGCAGACCACATCATCAGTAGACCACATCATCAGTAGACAACATCATCAGTAGACCACATCATCAGTAGACCACATCATCAGTAGACCACATCATCAGTAGACCACATCATCAGTAGACCACATCATCAGTAGACCACATCATCAGTAGACCACATCATCAGTAGACCACATCAACACTAAATCACATCATCAGTAGACCACATCATCAGTAGACCACATCAACACTAAATCACATCATCAGTAGACCACATCATCAGTAGACCACATCATCAGTAGACCACATCAACACTAAATCACATCATCAGTAGACCACATCATCAGTAGACCACATCAACAGTAGACCACATCAACACTAAATCACATCATCAGTAGACCACATCATCAGTAGACCACATCATAACTAAACAAATCATCAGTAGACCACATCATCAGTAGACAACATCATCAGTAGACCACATCATCAGTAGACAACATCAACCCTAGACAACATCATCAGTAGACCACATCATCAGTAGACAACATCAACCCTAGACCACATCATCAGTAGACCACATCAACCCAACCAAATCCATTATAGAGCGTCAAACCCTCGTTAATTTAACCACCCCCCTCCCTACGGCTCAGCTTGTCAATGTAACCAGCATTAACCATCCCCCTGTCCCCCAGTCCCCCATCATTCTCCTGTCAAGTACACTCCACCAAGCCAGTTAACCTTAGACTAAAAATCACTATGTGATTACGTCCCTTATAAAATTATGGTGTTTGTTGTTTCCCTTTAATGTCGGGTTTTGTTTTCATTATTTCCATCACACATCCCTTTGAGAAAGTAAATGGAAAAAAGACTCTGTTATACGTTATATTGGAGTAATGGCTAGGTTTAACTCTAGAGTTTAACCTAGAAGTATACAAATAGAAAATATAACATCTAAACAATAATTTAAAACATGTATATCAGTTCTCTAACAGACTGTTATCACGAAACAACATATACTTTTACATGAAAGCACCATATTTCATATATAGGCCTATATATATATGTATATATATATATATATATATATATATATATATATATATATATATATATATATATATATATATATATATATATATATATATATATATATATATATATATATATATATATATATATATATATATACACCAACCAGCCCCGCACACAACTGACCAACACAAACTAACAACACTTAAACATTAACTAAACAAAGATGCATCGATCAGACCATGACCATCACAACATTAAGTTTCAACCCCCCCCCCCCCCCACACCATCCCACACCACCCCCTCCCCACAGAGTACAAAACAACCGGGCCGACATCGTTTAAAGCTGGACCAATCACGCGAGTTTAATGAAAGATTGAACGCACGGTCGTAGTTAATGTTTCATGAAAGTGGTTAACCCTACCCGGAACCGGCTCGCCGGCTTTGTAATTCACGGGCTTTTAAACAAGGTGTCGCTCCAATCAACTCTCTGTCACGGAGCGTTCAAGGGAAATAACTTTTTTAGATTGAAAAATTTTTGTACCTATCTCATTATTAAGGCAAAAAAAATATACTAGCTGTAAATGTTGTTTTTATGTGTCGAACAAAATAAAGAAAATATTGTGTTATTTTTCTTCAATTTTTTTTTTTTAAAACTTGATTGATTAGGAGGAAAATTGCAACCGTTTAAATTGAACCGATTTTTTTTTTCAAACTTGACACGAAGGTTAAGTCCTCTTGTTATTATACTTTGCCTTTAGTAACTACTCTGACCTCTAGTCATGCTACTTTGCCTAAATCTAAATCTAAATCTGACCTCTGGTCATGCTATTTTGCCCCTGAATGCCATTCCGACCAACGCTATACACCCCAACCCCATTTTAATTGTTGCCTTTTTTATACGTCCATAGGACACCACTTTAATCACGTTTTCTTTTAGACAAAATTAAATTCTCCATGGGGACATTTGAAACTTCCGGGGTAGGTGGAGGGCACTTGAAATTTACGTGGGGTGGACACTGATATTTTCTTTATTAATACTGTGCTATGCTCTCCTTTGAGGGAGGGGGGGGTCGGTGGGTGTTCATTGTTGCCTGAGGCGTGACGTCATTTAGGGTGGTCAGGCTTTTAGTGACAATGTGTGACGATGGGCAGGGGGATGTAAAAATCGTCACCAAAAAAAGTGTGACGTCATTTATGGATGACCTCTAAGATCCAACAAATTAAAGTTAAAATTTACTAAGCAATCACTTTAAACTTTTTTTAAAAAAATAATTAAATCATTTTATGTAACCCAAACAATAGTTAATTTCGCCATTTTTAATGTAGAGTTACTCAACGTCCAAAAAAAAACACCTTTCAGCATTGTCTCCCTTGAACGCCAGCATGGACGCCACGCTGCGCGCGTCGCCTAGCAACCAGCGAGTCAATGCACTTTGCCGTGCTCTCGCATTTCTGCGGCGTGCGGGCCCACCGTCGCGCGGGCCCCTGACTCCCGTTACAGGGGAGAGCCCCACCTTTCTGCGAGACTCACATCTTTCTGGGACCGCAGATGTACACATTCTTACAGGTAAAATAGATTTCAGTTTTATCAGGAGTAAACTTCCTCAATTCGACTATGGAACCGATTTACTGTGAACTTCGTTTTTCTGTTGGATTCTAGATGGACCAGTATTCATTCTTAGAGGTACTGAAAATGTGAAGTTTTTACATGGTATAATAGAATTTCCTGTTTATTTTTTTTAAACTGAAATTTTGAGTTGTATTCACGTGTGGTCTTGTAATATTAAACTTCGTTAAATAGTGTGGTTTGTTTACTAAACGTGAGTCTTCTTCTTCTTCTTCTTCGTTCTTAATTATTAGTGTTAAAGTAACATCTATATATATAATTCTCTTCTGGGAGCCGTTAGAAAACAAGCTGCAAGCGCGCGCCTTGCAGTCCCCTCTTTTCCTCTCTATTGCTACTGAAAAGCAGAAAAAACAACTAAATAGCGGCGTATGATGCACCGCGGGTCGGCTCGTTAGATTCTATTCCAGCAGGATAAATGAAAATGTCTTTGTTTATGTTTGTTGTATGTGATAATGACATGGAGTTAATTAAAAATGTGTTTATTAGTGTCGTATATCAAATTTTTAAATCATTTTTAATAATGTGTTTTATTCTTTCTTAGTGTTGTCTAGACTAGGGTTGTTTAATAAATTATGTCCGTCTTTTTAATAGCCTTTTCTATGTATGTCTGCAGCTCTGTCGAAGTTAACTTGTGTATTACAGCTGTGTATTAACTCGTGTCTTGCCTAGTGAAGTCTGTCCACTGTTTCTTTCAGACATTTTTTCTCAGGGGGGGGGGGGACTTGAAATTTTCCTGGGGGAGGAGTCTAAATTTTCCCGGGGGGGGGGGGGGCGGACACTGGTAAAAGTATATATTTTCTATATGAATTCTTTTTTGTTCGGGGTGGGGGGTACACGTTTTTCGTGGGTCACAAACCCCCCCCCCCCCCCATCCCCCGAAGAGATGCCTAGAAGAAACTCTGAAACATTTTAAAACCCTGATATTTCATGGAGCTGTAAGTCCTTACTATAGACCCCTTATAGGTTACTGTACTTAGATCCACTTTAGCTAAAAGTTGTTATAATCAGAGCTTCTTTTTCTTGTTCTTCTGCTTCCTCTTCTTCTACTACTATTACTTCTTCTTCTTCGTTCTTAACTTAGTGCTGAAAGGGATTCCCTCCAACACCATTAATTCCACGCGTCAACTGGTTATGCTCCATGATCTGAGGCTATATTGACATTGCATGTATTAAGACGTCGTTTTATGTGTCGTTGACGTGGATGGGGTTTATGTGGGGTATTAGGTGACCGTCGACATGGACGTCTATATCTTGTTAGTAGAGATGGCCATTGGTCATCATTTTTTTAAATTTTAGCTTTCAACGTTTTACGAAACATGTTTTTTTTTTTTATATTTTTCTTTAAATATACGTTTCTTCTTCTTCTTCGTTCTTAATTTTAGTGTTGATAGGGATCCACTCCAACACAATTAAATATTACGTATCAACTAGGTATGCGCCGTTGAGGACATTAACTCCTATTTCAGCCTGCTTTTCTTTTTTTGGATTTGCTTCCATAGTCTTTGTCCAAACAAGAACAAACTACAAGGCAGCAGTTGTTTGATTTTGGAGTTGTCTTTTAAAACCTTTAAAATCAACACCTGAATTTTAGTTCACCGAGATAATTGACGAAAATTTCAATACCAATTAGAAAAAGTCGTGAACTAATTTATCGGCACAATACTTAAACGAATACCTGCAAGGTTTCACGGTGTATGACATGTTTTCAACTTATTATACCCTCATTACAATTCTTCAATTCGTAATTGAGTTGTTTCCCCTGTACGTAATTACGCCCCTTGATAAATTCAATCAATAGTGTCTCTGTTTGAAGGGGAGAAAATCCATGGTTTATCAAGTACTGGTTTATCTGATTCTGCGGGCTTTATTTAGTCGCGGTACAGTCCATGTGGACACAACATGCCGAGGGTTGGAAGTTGCTGGCTTCGATTATGATGATTGGGGTTCGATTATGGTGATTGGGTTGTGACCAGATTTTTTTTTCTTTCGCGCTTGTTAGAAAGATAAGGTGTTTTTTTTTCTGTTGGTGTAGTTGTTAGGGTTAGTTAAGGTTGGTGTTGTGGTCTGGGTTAGGGGTAAGGCAGGGGTCAGGGAGAGGATTAAGGTGAAGTTGATGTCTAGGTTTTAAGATAGAGTTGTAACTATGTTGCGGATAAGGGTCAGGTTAGGGTTAAGGTGAAGGTTAAGGCTAGAGTTAAGGCTAGAGTTAAGGCTAGAGTCAAGTTTAGGGTGACGATTAGGGTAGGTTAAAGGTTAGGGTCATGACTTAGGTCTATATAAATCACGAAAAGATTATCGGTAGAGCATTGCTAGTCTAGTCTCTCTTGTCCTCCCTCTTTCTCTCTTTCTCCTGCTAGCCTCTCTCCTTCTCTCTCTTCCTCAATCTTTCCTCATTTTCTCTCCCTTTCCCTCGCTCTCTCCATCTCTCTATATCTTTTTCTCCTCCTCTCTTTTTCTCTCTTTTTCTCTCTCTTCTCTATCCCTCCCTCTCTTTCCCCATGTTTTAACCCGTTCCGTCGCCCTCTCTCTCCTCTTTCTTCCCCTCTTTTTCTCTCTCCCTCCCTCTCCCCTCAGTCACCCTCCATCACTGTCTCTCTCTCTCTCTCTCTCTCTCTCTCTCTCTCTCTCTCTCTCTCTCTCTCTCTATATATATATATATATATATATATATATATATATATATATATATATATATATATATATATATATATATATATATATATATATATATATATATATATATATATATCGTACACCGCCTATTCCAGTTCTATCAATGCCCTTAAGCCAACAGCTTGACCCGTGGGTCTCCATCAGCTCTCCCTCCTCCACAAGTTCAATACAACCCCAGGTTCACATATGGGGGTCAGTTAACTCAACAGGCGACCCACAGTCTCAAGCGTGAGTACCTATCTCATGACTTCCAGAACAACAACCGATTTTTCTAGACCATTCTTTTCCAATCCCGTAGACTCAATATTTCTGTTATTAGATTTCATAAATTTAAACTGGTTTTATTTCTACTGAAAAGGGAGGGAACTTGAAGCAGGACGAAAAATCAATTCAAATAATTTGACATGCATTCAGAAACTGTCGGCCCAAGACAGATAATCAGATCAATTTTTTTTTTGGACAAATGTTTAAAGATCGATGGTTTAGAATAGGTTTTCAGCAATTAATTTTTAACAATAGGGATTTTTTTCGCGCCATTTTGTTTCACAGAGGCTTTTCGTTCCACTGTCTTTGGGGGAAATTTTTCACTCATATTTCTTCTACAGTTGTGAATACTTCAAAAGAATGTTATTTTGTTTATAAATAAATTCCTCGTTTTTTTGTTTCTTTATTTGTTTATTTAGTTAAGTTGTTTATAAATTTGTTTATACATGTGTTTGTTTATTTGTTGTTTGTTTGCTACTTTATTTGTTTACTTGTGTGAGTATTTGATTGTGTGCGTGATTGATTGTGTATTTGACTGTGTGTGTGTTTGATTGAGTGCGTGTTTATTGTGTGCGTGTTTGATTGTGTGAGTATTTGTTTGTGTGCGTGTTTGATTGTGTGTGTTTTTGATTGTGTGTGTGTTTGATTGTGTTTGTGTTTGATTATGTGCGTGTTTGATTTTGTATTTGATTGTGTGTATGTGTGTTTGAATGAGTGCGTGTTTATTGTGTGCGTGTTTGATTGTGTGAGTATTTGTTTGTGTAAGTGTTTGATTGTGCGCATGTTTGATTGTGTGCGTGTTTGATTTTGTATTTGATTGTGTGCGTGTGTGTTTGATTGAGTGCGTGTTTATTGTGTGCGTGTTTGATTGTGTGTGTGTTTGATTGTGTGCGTGTTTGATTTTGTATTTGATTGTGTGTGTGTGTTTGAATGAGTGCGTGTTTGATTGTTTGCTTGTTTACAAACGTAACCATTCTATCAATTATTTTTTTACAATTTTTTTTAAAACCACAATCATACACATAATTTATTTTCATTTTCGTCTTTGTTATAGGGCTGGTAAGTAGGTCACCAACCAGTTCTACGGCTCAATAAACTTGCATGAGCCATAGAACTGGTTGGTGACCTACTTACCAGCCCTATAATGTTATAGGTTTAGTGAATATTTTCAAACTCAAAGAAACGGAAGAGAAATTTTTTATATCAACGTTGATTTTAGCAGCACTAACTCTAGAAACACATCAAATACAGCTATACATGTTCAAGCAGTTGCGTGGAAGAGAGACGATTATTCTGTGTTTTGTTTTACGTTCTTGAGTTTCATAAAACGTAGAAAAAAAGACTGTTATCAAACCTTTATTTATTTGGGAAAGGGGGGGAGGGGAGGTGACACCATGAAGTGCCACAATCGGTGACGCCGACCTAGCGACGCCTCTGAATACCATCAAGCCACTAACATTAGTTTTTATCGTTGATGTGAGAAAATATGTTGTTTTTTTTCAGCTACATTTTAGCGCAATTTCCATACTGGCAATTGCGTTTAATAATTCGTCATTTCTGGATGGATGGATGTGTGGATGTGTGTCCGCAGCTTTAAGTCGTATCTCCTCCTCAACGAAGCAATATCGAGGACTAGTTCCAAAAGCAAATATGTTAAGCAAGTTCCGAGGATGATTGTGGGCCAAAAATAATTCCGGAGTTCCTTCCTGGATTTCCCGGAAAAGCTTAAAAACCTCAAAAACATGCAGTTTTTGGCCCATATCTCGGCAACCAGACCACTTAGCGACTTGAAACATTTACCAATCGATTTCTGTCATAATTTAGAACAATATTGCCGAAGAAAGTTTTCAAAAATATCCTTTCGTTCGGTCACAAATTTTTGTTTTAATATATTTTAAACTGAGCATCGTGTAGGCCTACTCGTTAAAAAAAAATCATTTCCGTTGATATAGGTTAATATAGTTGTCTTTTTTTTAGCGCAAAAAAATATCCTTTCGTTCGGTCACAAAAAATTAAAAATCGTTATGGATAACATAAGGAAATTGCGCTTAAATTGTCACTAGACTTTTTATTAACTTGTTTTTATAACTGGCATTAACAAATCTATTTACTGCAAATTT